TTTATTAGTCAAAGATCTTGAATGCACATTGCTTTGTTGTTTGATTTTTGAGTACAGGAAGACTCGGTGTAGGATCAAAGAAGATAAATTTTGCCCAGGGCTCATGTTCTCTGTTAGATCATCTAGTTCAGAGAAAACATGCAAGAGAAACCTATCCTCTGAATGGTGAAGGTGTCTACCATTGAATTAAAATGCCTCACAGTAGCAGATCACTGTTAAAAAGCCTTTGAGAGATGAGAGTGTGTGTGTGTGTAACCTTGGCTAGCATTAGCCCATCAGCTGAGAATGTACAGCCATATCTCTTAGTGTTTTATTCAGGATTGTGACATGGAAATTATCTGTAAATATCTTTTCTGTATCAATGCTACTCAGCTTCCTTAGAATTCTGTTAAACTGGGCACTCTTCCCTGGCATTTTCCTCACACTCTCATCTTTCCTAGAATATACTTTTGTAAGAATCAAAGTTAGAGAGCAAACGCATTTCTTGCTGACATTATTAGGGAAAACTCACTACAATAAACAAATACTTCCTTACCTTTGGAGCAGGACTCTTCTTGCAAATAAATTCTCTGTATGACACAAACAAATGAGGAATATTACCACTGCAGCCGTGGCTTCTCCAGTGTCACAGGGCAATAATGAAATGCATCCCTCGGTACTTTTTATTTGAAGTGGGGGTAACATAAATCCTTCATCATATCAAGGCTATTTTGAACAGAACCAGCAGCGAGATAAGATCATTTAATGAACTTTGCAGCCCCCTGCCTGAGATGACCGTGAAACACAGGGACCCTTGAGACCATGCATCCCTCCCACACTGGCAGATACTTCAAAGAGCATGACTTGGCAAGTGATGGGAATTTTCTTTAAAATGCCTGCTAGTGCTATCCATTTTAATAATCTTCCAATGAAGCTTGAAAAATTCCACAGTACTGTCTTAGCTGTAATGGAGGCTGAAATGGTGTGACAAATCACACTTGGTTTTGCATTACAGGGTGACTTACAGAAGTATGTGCTACTTTGGTGTTGTTAATCTAAGGATGTGTGCTTGATTATGACCTATCACAAAATCTGCTCTCTTCAAGGTAATTGTCATAGGAATTGTCTGTATGTTTAGCGTTATCTCACAGAATACATTAAAGCAGCACTAGTTTTACCATTTGGAGTTGTTATAAGTCTATTACAGATGAATGCTTATATCATTACATTTCATTTTCTGAGGAAAATGTTTTGTAGGTTTGGCTGATGACAGATGTATGCACTTGTCTCAGTTTTCATTAAATCCATCTAAATTGCTAATATACCATATGTGATGCTGGCTTAAGTAGTTCTTATACAACTGCTGGTTATTTTAACCTGCCCTGTAATTTTTTCAGACCCCAAATAGAAAAAGCAGCAGCCATTAGATGGATGTTTTCTGTAGTTCATATTTACTTATTTACTTTTTCTGCAGTTTCCTTTACAGCAGAAAAACCCTGTGCAAAACATAGCAGCTACAACCTTTTTCTGTAAAGGAAAATTCCAACTATTTCCAAAACCTGGTCAACACATTTAACTCCTTAGAAACAGTACCTATTAGCTTTCTTTGGTGTGTCATTCCACCCCATGTCATATGAGAGCACAGAAATCAGCTTGTCCCTCCATACATTAGACAACAGTGGTAATGTAGTCTCAGAGCTTTAGGACCATTATACATATGTGGCATTGAAAAAAAAATAACAACATATCGTAGGTTAAGCTGATTACTCTATTTTTGGAAAAATAGCTCAAATTCTGACTGGCTTTAGAAATCACAAACAAATACAATCTGAATACTAAAATAATATAGTATTATAAAAAGAAGTGGAAGCCCAGGCTTGATAGAGAAGTGGCACTTACCACCATGGTGCTGCAGAGCAGCAGAACTGCTTCGTTGTCATTTGACTCAGAACTTGAGTGGCATTCCCTTTTTACTAAATACATCTTGCTAAATTTGAAATGAATTTGAGGGTTTGTTTTGTTTCTAATGTTATGATATGGTCAATATATTCCATAAACTTTTGCAAAGGTCGATTTTCAGGAGGGAGCTTCAGTGTCCAGGCTTCATCAGATCAGAACATGTGTTTCTGTTCAGATATTCTCTAGAAGCATTGACATTTGTGCAGTTTAGATGCCCTGTGTAAAGGACAGCCAAAATGTGATAAGACATTGCACACACTCTGGTCATCTGCACTGGATTAGGTACATTGTTTATTATACTTGCTGACTGTATTTGCAATGAACATTTCATCTGTGCATTCACAGTGACCTCTTGTGCAAGACAAATGGTGCATCCAGAAATCCTGGACAGAACAAGTACTCTGCTGGGCTACCCATATGTGTAAAAAAGTTCAGGTCACAGTCGACTGGAAAAACACAGTTCACTCTCAAAAGCGGGGCAGCTTTTATATACAGCCTGGAAAATATTCAGGCTGTTTGTGCACCTCAACCCTTGTTTACTTCATAAGCAAATCTCAGAGCTGCTTACCAGAAACTGCTGGTATAACAGCTCTCATCTCTAGTTTGCAAAAGTTCTTGTAAGCACCTGCTTAATGTCATTAGCAGAGACCACAGACGAATTTGCAAAATAATGGATGGAATGCAAACCTTTGGAGCCCTTATCTGCAGGAATCAAATCCTGTCTTGGTGTTTTGACTCTATGCCGTTGTTCATGTGTGGGAGAGCTAGAAATAAATGTAGAAGTCAGCTCTTACTCTTGCACAAGTAATCCTGGTACATTTGGTCCATATTTTGTGAGCCTGGACCCTTCACTCTGTGGGTATTCTTAGACCTGATGCTGAAGGAGAGGAGGTAAAAGGAGAAGGTATTTCACAGAATCTTGCCAATTAAGTAAACATCTTATGCTAGAGGAAATAAAATCCGGAGAGGTAAGTTTTTTAAGTAGCTACTGTACCACGTTGTTGGGGTAACTTCCTTTGGTATTCACTGTGCACCTGATATTCACAACCTTCTTGCTCTGGATTGATGCAATGGCAGCTAGAAAGTTGTGAAGAGGGATTTCTGTTGTTACTGGGCTACGTCCTCGTTGGACCAGGAGCAACACAGATCACAGCAGTTTTATCAGCCCTCTCCAAACTTCACAAATTGCAGAATGGAGCAGATTACTTATATAAGAAGTAGGAGTCTAATCAGTTTAGGTGTCTATCTGTAGTGGCTGGACCCTGTATAGATTCCAGACACCCATCACAGCCTCTCTATCACTCTCCTTCACAAAAGGACAAGGGAGACAAAATGTAATGAAGGTTCATGAGCTGAGATAAGGACTGGGAGTGATCATTCACCAAATAGCATCACAGGTAAAACAGACTTGAATTGGTGATATTAATTGAATTTATTACCCACAATATCAGAGCAGGATAATGAGAAGTAAAGTATATTTTAAAAACACCTTCTCCCTCCTTCAACTCTACTTCTTCCCCTCCAGCAGCATGGGGATGTGGGGAATGGATGTTGCAGTCAGTTCATCACACGTTTGTGCCCTTGTTCAGGGAGAGTAGTCCTTCCCCTGCCCCAGAGTGGGGATCCCTACTACAGGAGAGAATTCTCCACAAACTTCCCCAGTGTGAGTCCCTCCCATGGGAAACAGTCCTGCACAAACTGCTCCAACCTAGATCATGTGGTGCAGTCTTCCAAGGAGAGGCCACAGGGTCACAGGTCCTAGCAGAAAATCTGCTCCAGTCTGGGCTGCTCTCTCCACAGGTCTGCCAGGAGCCCGCTCCAGCAGGTGCCTCCTAAGGGCTCACAGCCTCCTCTCAGGCATCCACCTGCCCTGATGTTCATCTCCTCCATGGGCTGCAGGTGGATTTCTGCATCCCTGTGGACCTCCCTGGGCTGCAGGGGCACAGCTGTCTCACCATGGGCTGTGCCAGGGGCTGAGGGGGAATCTCAGCTCTGGTGCTTGGAGTGCTTCCTCCCTCTCTTTCTGCACTGACTTTGGTGCCTGCAGTGTTGTTCTTACTTATTCTCACTCTGCTTTTCTCTGGCCACTCTTACATCTCAACAATAACTTCTTTTTCTGTTAAATATGTTATTCCAGAGGTGTTGCCACCATTTCTAATTGGCCCAGCCTTGGCCAGTGGCACATTCATCTTTGAAGCTGCCAGGGATTGGCTTTGCTGGATATAGAATTTCTCATAGAAGCCACCTTATATCCCTCACTGATACTAAAACCTGGCCACAAAAACCCAACACACTACCTTCCCAGGAAAGCTGATTGCTAACTGGCTTTCATGCTTCTGTAAATATTTGCAGTGTGAGGTTATTAAAACCTGCCTTGGAAAACCACCAGTAGTCCTTTAGCAGGTCTAGCACTGCAGAGTAGAAGAGCAGGCAGGATGATCCTTGATGGACTGTCCTGCGGCCAGTACCATGCTGGGGGCATGATGTTTCCCTGTTGCACATGAACTGATTTGAACCCTGCTGTATTGTGTTGGTGTCTCTGAGAGTACCTCTGGAGAAAACACATCTGCTTAAAAGTTTCTAGCTCTGCCTGCTGGGCATGACACTGAGTGGTGGACTGAAAGTTGTCATGACTGGGTAACTGAAAGAGGCACTTAATTTCACTGAGGTTTATAAAGTCTTTTTTTTTTTTTTCTCTTGGGCCAAACCTTGGATTGGGTGGTTGTGATTGTTAAAATAACACTAAAAAAATCAGGATTAAGTAGGAGCTGGAATTTCAGTTGACATACAAGAATACCTTTTATCTAAACAGGATTCTCCCTCTGCATTCTCAATGGTGCCTACATCATATCATCCATGTGTTTGACACACAATTGTTTTCTTTATAAATACCCGTTATAGGATAATCTCAAGGTCAGTAAAGTAGCAGATTGAAGAGTTTACATGTTTTATTAGCAGAATAAAACTTCTTATTAGCACCAGTTACATGACACTTGAAACATTTACAGATGCTGCTTAGTGTTTATTGTAATCATGATGTTGCCTCTGCACAATCAGAAAAATTAGATATATAAGATTTACTAGTAGCATTTAGTAATCCTCTTATTAGTTGCCTGCCTGCAGATTTTTCATGGTTCTATTTTTTCTGAGACTGTGAAGTTTTCAAGTAGTTTAAATTGTATCAAGCTGAAATTTAGGCACTGGAGCTCCTAGATACACAGATGCTCTCCATGGAAGTGTAATTAGCCTGGCTCTGTGCACTGCAGGGGAGAATTTTGCTGCAAAAGAAAGAAGAGGCTGCTGGTGTCACCTGCTCTGTCCTAGCATTTCTATGTGTTTGACACTACCTTCCAGTCCAAATGAAATTCTATAGTGACCTGTCCAGAAAGGCTTCTATGATGCGTTGGATTTGCCTGCAATTTTGACATGGATGATTTTCCATCTTATTACGACACTGGAGTGAGGAACAAAACTGCTCTAGACACCCTCAGGCATCAGTTTAATGAGTGTAGGAAAGAAGTTTTTGATCCTCTGTTAAAATCAGCCAATGCAGATCCTGCTCCAGTGCACATATTGTTTGAGCTTGGATTGGGGCGTAAAAATCTTGGAGAGAAAAAATATCTCAGTGGAGTAAACAGCATCTTAAGGGTTTTTTAAATAGCATTATAGCTCATATACAGCCAAATTTTAGGTGCTTCAGTTAGAAATAGTTGAATGGGTTGAACTGGAGCTGTTTGAGACATCCAACTTACTGCTAACAAATTAACGAAAGTCCACAGGGGATTTTCCATTAGTTTTAATTTCCATGGGATGATGTCAGATACTTTGATGACAGGGAAGTAGAAATTTAGGGCAGTGTATTGATTGTATGACCTTTTGTCTTAATATCCCATAAACCTTAAATGTTCAAGCATTCTGTACCTCTTATAGAGGCAAATGCTACTTCAATGTTTTCTCTATGGAAGCTCAAATCATCTTTGGATGAGTTTGAGTTATTTTACTTGGGAAGAAGGTAGGGTAAGAAGAAGGATGATAGAGGCTTTTAGGAGTAATTTTCATGGTCGTGGATAAATCTGTGGTTGCAGTTTCTTTGTGAATACACAAAGGATAGCTGTACCCTTGCTGTGCACCAGCTGAATCCTGGTTTTAACTCAAATTCTACTTAGAACCAAGCACAGATGTACTTACTTTGCTTCTACCAATATATTGGAGGGAAGGGATCTGTGACTCAGGGCTTTACTAAGTCAGTTAACTGAGATGATAAGCAGGCTGCCTTTTGCTGATTCTTTGCTCCTGTTGAGACTACATCCACATTGAAAAAACTGACCAGACTTTACTCTAGTTGGCCTGAGAGTTTGAGCATGAATGTAGGATCTGAGGGCCCATTCTGCCTTTTTTGTGCTTCCTGGAAAGAAATCTGATTTAACTCTTACACTCAATCCTGCAATGAAAGTAATTCAGATATGAAAGGCCATCACCAACATGTTCCTCTTAAGCACTGGGACCCAAAACAACCATTAGCTCCCAGAACCTGCCATTATAAAAGTCTCTTGCTAATGCAGTCCTCAGCAAGCAGAGATTGCTGGCAAGATTACAAAATCACCAGGTGTGTGTTAAGTAAAACGTGAGTCGTGGCAGATTAAGACCATGTAACTACTCAAGTACAAGGAGTGGCCTGGGCCATTACACAGCAGCACACTTTGGCAAGCCCAGCACCACAGAAGTTCTGCTTCTTTAGTTGCCAAGATCTGCTATGCAGCCAGCTGGGAGACAGATCTGTCACATGTGAAATGGCCAACTTTAAGGAGGGGTGAAACCTGATTGTTGGGGTTTTTTTGTTTCTTTTCCTTTGCATTAAAGTATATAGTTAATGCAGTCTGCATTAGATGATAAATAGTTTAAATGTGACTGCTATGGGCAATTAGACCATTTTGTCCGCTTCCTAAGTAGGGATTGAAATGCCTAATATTTTGCATCAGAAGTTGAACCTTTTGTTCATAGTTGTTGAAAGGAAACTATATGTTGCATCAGCTACGAACATTTTTCTGAACATGAACAGAATAAATTCTTTCCTTGTCTCTTGTATACACAGGTATTGATGATAAAATTTTAAACTGTTTAATGTGTCAGACATATCAATCAACTTAATGTAAGGATTTATTACATCCCTTGTGGTTACTAGAAGAACCTTCACAGAATGTATTTTGCAAAGTCTTTAACTTGAAGACAAAATTTCTTCAGTACAGGTTTGACCTGTGCTGAAGTTGTCATAGAGCTTGTTTACCCAGAAATGACCTCTCTTTCTAGGAAATGAATACAAGATTGAATGTAAGAAAATTCTTCAGAGCCATGTCAGTGTGTGGGTGTGTTCTCAAAGCACATCCCCATACTTAGCTCTGCTCCCTGGACTATCATGTTGTCTTCCTGCCTTGTGTACACAGAAGTGTTAGTGGAGAGGTGTGGTTAGTGGGTGGTGGTCTCTAAATGCCCTGTTCCTGGTCTGTGCTTGTATCCTTCTTGTGTCAACTGCTACTCTGCAGCTGTGGACCATGTTGTCTGCATGGTGTAGACTAATGGATCTTGATGGATGAAGCACACAGTTCAGGTATGGGAAAAGCCACCAGGAGGTGGCCCAAGAATAGATTCAACAGAAGAGAACAATCTGCCTTTTATTACTCTAACTACAAGTCTGGATGGATCTGATCCTGATGGGACTGGCATTACTGGCAAATGGGTAACAATGGATGAGGAAAGAGCTGAGGTACTCAACAACACTTTTGCCTCAGTTTTCAATGTCCATCTCTCTTCCTACACCTCTGGCACAAGTGGACTTCAAGACAGGGACTATAGGAGAAAAGTCCTTCCCAGTGTAAGTAAGGCTTTGATTCATGGCTACTGAACCTGAATGTATATTAAGTTTTGGGACCTCATATGATGTATCCCAGAAAACCTCTGAGGAAATTGGCTGAGGTAGCTACCAAGCCACTCTTCATGGTATTTGAAAAGTCTAGTGGCAGTCTGGTGGAGTTCCAGGTAACTGGAAGAAGGGAGACAATGCACCTGATCTTTAAAATTAGTAGAAAGGAAGGTCCTGGAACATACGGACCTGTCAGCACCTGTGTTTGGGATGATCATGGAATGCATCCTCCTAGAAGATGTGCTCAGGTGGAGGGTGGGGAGGGGATTCAGAACAACTCACCAAGGGCAATTGCTTCCTGACTGACCCACTGTGATGGTTATGATGTGGCTGGTAGAACATTGGAACAGATTGCCCAAGTAAAGGTAGATGACCTATCCCTGGAATCATTCAAGGTCATGCTGGGCAGGGCTCTGAGCAACCCAATCTAATGAAAGGTATCACTGCTTATGGCAGGGGCGTAGGATTAGATGGCTTTGAACATCCCTACAGCACAAAGTATTCTAAGATGCTATGATTCCATCTGACAATAGAGGATAAGGACCACCTTCTTCTGCTAGATTTGCAGAAGAATTAACAACTTCATTAAATGAACAAGGAAAATTAGGAACTTCTAAGTATTTAAAAGTTATTTATGTCTGAAACAAGACCTATAAGCAGCAGGAGGAAATATACCTTTTGCTTTCCACCTGTGTTTAGAGATTTCTTGTCTAGAAGGGAAGATTATTCTTGTCAGCATTTGTGTCATTGTCACTTCTGATCAGGGCAACACAGTACCCACGGGGCTTCGCCACTCAGCAAATATGTTTGCTGTACTACTTCATGTTCAAAGCAAGTATGGTTTCTTTTTTCTCTCTCTCTCTCTGGTTCTTCCTATAGGCTGACTGCTCAAAATTTCCAGCCATTATGTTGTCCATGCACATAAAAATTTACCATATCAATAATTTTTGGGAAAAATACCTATTTTAATGGGATGTGAGAACCTGACCCTGTTGAACTGTATTACATATCAGTTGCCCTCTGGCTGTGAATACCATTAATGCTGTACATTTGCTGTACATTCTGTACATGTCTTTCAAGTAGATGTCAGGCATCTGAGTCAGTCACTGACTTTCCTACCAGAGAGCTGCCTCATGGATGAAGGCATTGGATGATTGCAGAAGTTCCTAGTTGAAGCACATTAACTTGATTTGGACTAGTAGGGTGAAAACAAGAAAGTGTAGAAATCTCTGAGAAGTCCTTACATGGGCTGTTCTCCTGTTGCATCTACCCTTTTTTCAAATTGTGTCACAAGTTGTGTAAATACTCTTGGGACCTTGGGGTCAGCAACCAGAACAGACATTGGTGAGCCATGAGTGCTTAGCAGCTCTGAAAATGAAAAGCCATATGGACTAAGGAGACTGTGGATGCAGAGAGTCAAAAAATCCCTCTTACGTGCTGGTGTTAAGGTAACTACATAAACCAATGACCCTATAAAAGAAATAGGCCTGAAATAGTAACCTCCTTCAGTATAAAGTAAGCCCCATGAAATCAGTACCAATGGTTCCTCTGATCCTGACAAGAAGGCTGCCAGTGCCAAGAGTGCAGCTTGAATCCCTTGTTACTCCCACATTTGACTTCATACTCATGATCTTGTGTAGGCAGTTGGGAGACATCTGTGATTCTCATCACAAAAACAGATCTTGTTTATGTTCATCCTTTGTAGGTGTTTTTCAATAGTCCTGGCACTATTTTGAAACTTAATTTTTTAAGATTTTAAGAAAGTTAAAAGGGGACCGAAGAAATATCTTGTAAGTCAGTCTGTGGGGAAGCATAGACTCTTCAACCAAAATTAATCCATTGTACCCACTATCTATAAAATCATCTGTTGCAATTTTCAGCTATATCTGAAAAATTCCTTTCTGTTATGTTACATTTCTGTTGGTTGCATTAAGTATGAGGAGTAGCATTTACCAGGTTTCAAGTATGTTACCGCTCCTGCACTTTTTCTTTCTTAAATTGCCTCTTAAACCTGACCTTAAAATATGAGTTGCTCAAATGTCTTGTTTGATCAACTCTTAGAGCTGGCTCTTTGTCTCTTAGAGCTGAACTTTGCCTACTTTATCTTCAGGTTGTTCATGAAACTCAACTCCCTTGGCTCTTCTTGGTGCCTTTTCTTTATGGAAGAAGGAGAAATCAGATCTTGGATCTTTTGAGTTTAATCTGAATTTGTTAGGAGAGGGCAGACTCTGTGGGAGATGATCCTTCACAGGCCTGTGAGCATGTCAGCTCCATGTGACAGCTGGAAGCATTTTGGGCAGAAAACACTTTCACATATCAAGATTAAAGATGGGTTGACTATGCTGTTTGGAAATGAATGGGTAACACTTCTGAGATATACGTGGGTTTGCAGGTAGATTTTAGCAAGAAGAGAACAAATAGGTAGGGAGACAGTTTGAGAAAGACTCTTGGAATAACAGATAAAATCATGTAGGTTTTTGTGCTGTCTTCTTTTAAATGGGTGCACAGCTGTGGTGTTAGCTTAGCTGTACCCTTAGAGATATTGTGTGAAGTTGGAAAACAGACACCCAGCACAGACTTTTCAACTCACCAAAAGAAAGCTCACCATCTAGAGCATCATATGGTTTTTCCTCACCTTCATAATTCTGTGATTTGAGATGCACTGGTGTAACTGACATACTAGTCTGTTTTACTCTTAGTTCCTGCAAGTGTTATCACAGGCAGAGCTATTTACTCATAGCTTTTTATAAGGTTAAAGCAACCCTCTAGTTTGCCTAGCAGCAGTTCTCATCAGTATTCAGGAGCAGAAAGACACAGTTACAAGAGACCAGGCAGCCTATATGACAGTGCCTGTTTCAGTGTATTTTGAATTATTAAAGAAATATTTATATTACATCTAAGATAATCACATATGCAGAATATCAAGGTCAGTGCATGAGAATGTTAAGGAAAAACAATAAATGTCACAGATAACTAATTTATCTCTTGAGAATGTTATTGCACACACTGACACATTTTCCTCTTTATCATCAATCTATAAGACTGAGTTCTGTGAAGTGCTTTAATTAAGCTATCATCATGTACTTATTTATGGTGTCTCAAAATGATGTTATCAAAATACAATAGGCTTTTTTTTTTCTACCTCCACTCTATAAAATATCCTAAGACCTGAATATTTTACAAACAAATATTTTCAAGCCTATTTTATATGCTTATCTTGAAAAGCTGTCAAACTTTAATTGCCAGCAGCCAGGGAAAGCATATACTCTTGAAAAGTAACAAGTTGCTGTTACTTCTTTTCATCTGGCTATCTGATAAAATTCCTTTAAAATTAGTATTCAACACCTTGGAATCCATGCACACAGAGCTGGTATAATTTGTCTTTCTGACACACTTAACCCATCAAGTGCGTTCCTTAGTCTCTTTGATAGAACAGTAAGATTAAAGGCAATTATTTCACTTTCTCTGAGACTTTGCACAGTAATACAAGAATCACTATTCATTCCTGCAGTAGGTCAGATCAAGCTTATTCACTTGCTGCAAGTTTGATTTAACACGAGTAGAATGGTGATATAAACACCACTTGAAAAATTATATATTATTTCCCATAGCTTTTATAAATGTTGTGTGTGAAAACATTTATATAATTGTATGCTCCTTTTATCAGCCCAAGATTTGTTTTTTCCTAATTGCCTAGGAAAAGCTGTCTCTCATGGATTCTATAGTAAGTACAGTCTTTGCTAAGTGTTGACAATATGCCCAGCCTTAGTTCATACGGAGAGATGCATGATTAGTAGCCAAAGCAGCAGCTTTGTATTTTGAAAATTACATTTTAGAAATTCACACCTTGCACTCAAATACTTGCTATGGTTTGCTTTGGGAATGTTAGTTTTTATCCGTACTGTGAGGCTCAGGAATTCAGTCATTAGTGCTATATTCAGTCTCAGACTTGTATCTGACTGCAAAGTTTAAGAGTCGGTGTTATTAACTTCTAATGATGCCATCTCCTGGTGACTGGTGCCTGTGCTGATGTTATTATTGAGGAGCAGTACAGAGGAGATGGAAAATAAACAGTAAAACCAACAGGACTGATGAAACATGACTGAAAGAGGAGTGTGTGCATGCTAAGGATTTTGCCTCGGAGTATGGAGCCAGACTTCGGTGGCAGATACTTTGTTACCTGTCAGAAAATAATCCATCAGTGTGTCAGTTGCTGAGGACAGGTTCATTCTTCCTGTGAACTTGTACAGTGCCCAGCACAGAAAAATCTCAGCCTCCATCAGGGCTTGTAGGCTCACTGCAAATAATATGGCTGTGTTTTAACACAATGATGTTGATTGCAATTCGCATACATGGCCTTTAACGTTATTGTTTACAACTAATCAGTCCACAGCCAGCTAATAATGCCTCATCTCCTTCTCTTGTTTTCTTCAGGATTTCTCTTTCTTCACTTGTGGAACCTCCATGGATTGTGACATCAAAGCCTGTTCCAGAGCTGCCCTCTTTTGCTGGACACATACACACACACACACACAGACACGCACACACACACCAATCTGCATGCCACAATATCAGTTTATTGGCTTGATAGACTTTTAACAAGCAGCCTTTATGCAAATACTAAGTGAATCTAAATTCTTAACACAGGTATTAACACTGGCATGTTTGTCTCCTGATGAAAGCTACACTCTGCCCTGGGGTACTTCTGCATAAAACAGTGAAAATGGCTTTGTCAGTTCAGTAAACTTATGGGCTTGAGTATCTTCTCATGTAATTCTCTGGGGTAACAAGTTACGCATAATTCTTGCTTTCATAATGAAATTATGAAATTGTGAAATAATATATATTTCATTATTTATGTTATGTAATATTATAAATTAATAATTTCATAACTGAATTTGGTACAGTTTCCATTGTAGTGTCTGTTTTTATATCTTAAATCATACCTGTCTATTTTTTTTCCCTGAAACTTCTACAAATTTTAGTATCATTTACAAAGAGAAGATGTCAAATGCTATGTAATAGTCCATTAATTGTGTCACTATCACCAAGTAAGTAATAATATTTTTCTCTTGTTCCCATGGGGTTTTGTACTGCATAGGTAATATAATGTGAATTCAGGAGCAGATTTTCTGCCCATTGGCATTTAGTTTTTACATTGTCTCTGCATGTTGATATCTTCTTTTGAAACTGAGACTGACAATCTTCCTAACTAACTAAGCTGTTAACACTCAAACATGATGTTTAACCAGTTTTTGCATGTCTAACTATGGACTCCCCTTCACTTTTGCTGCATGTCTCTGCTACATCCCTCTGTCAGCAAAGATGGTCTGTCTCGGAATAAGGCCAATAGAATAAGAGAAGAACATTTTGGATGGCTGAGCAGACCTCTCGGACTGTGAATGGTACCAGTACAAAGAGGACAATAGACACATGCCTCTGTGGTCATTGTCTACTCAAACTACCTGAGAAAGTTGCAACTTTGGGTATATATACTTGGCTCCTGGAATTCATATTTGCTGCTTAGTTTTACCTGCATGGGTGATTCCCCGTTCTAGTTGTTGGACTGGAGTTTGGCCTCCATATATTTTAGCATATTGGACTTTTGCAGTTGTTTTTGCTTAGCATAGCTAATGATAGGTGTATCATGTGTGCTCAGATAAAAGAAGAACATGCATAGGAATATAGTTAATTGGCTTTTGCTTCAGGTTATTGCACTGCTGGAGACGTACTGCACAGCATATCTGCACAAGTCTTTTTCTACACAGAGATTGTCCACACAGTGAGGTAAAGCCTCTGTGAAGAACAGTGGAAGGCAGAGACACAGAGCAAGGAGCACGATTCTGTATTTCTTGTTTCCACTAAAGACTGATGTTAAAAGCAATAAGAAATTTCTGTCTCTGTTGCCAAAATGCATCATAAATATTACTGTCATGATTTAGCAAACCAACACCGACCTAACAGACAGGAAAACAGAGCTCAATCCATTTTAACATCATGTGGCCTCCATAACATTCCTTCAAAGCTAATTAAGGTATACAGGCACCTTGTTTTCCAGGAGAGATTTCCTTCTTGAGCAAGAAGTAGCTTCAGTACTGGTGCTGTATTAAACAAATTTGAGGTGAGGAAACATAATGCTGGGATTGGAAGAACAAGACTGACATGTAAGCATGGGACTTAACAAGTCTGATAATCTTTTGTCTTTTTTATAAGTTTTAGTAAGTTTCAATAAGTTTTTGGTCAAGAAACACTCTTTCAAAGGGTTCACATACAGAGTCATGTGGAAAGGTTCTTTCACACCAATTTTTTTTTTTTGATCCTGGCTGTCTGCTTGTTCTGCATAAAGATGCAAATATTGTCTTGTTAGCATTGTACCAATTCTTCATCTTTAATTAATTTCTTTCCTGATGCTCCCTTTCATACTTTTTGAAAGGACATAATCTTGGTGACTCAAAAATATGAAGCACAGTTTTCCCCACAAAACTTTCTAGAATTTGACAAGAGCTTTTATGTCAGCACAGAACTGTTTCTTTGGTGTATATGTATGAGCTTTATTCTTGTTTATAACGTTTTGTAATGATTGATATGTAGGATGATTACATGAATCTTTCTGTTTATTGGGAAGATACAAACATTGTTCCGTAGAGAACAGGCAAAAAGATGCATTGCTGTTAAGAGATGCAGGATGTTCTGTGCCATGCCTACAAAGGAATTTAATGTTCAGCACTGCTTGCTGTCCAGTGACAGAAAATTCAGGTGAGGATGGGTTGGAAATGACTGTCATAGTCCTGCCATACCCAGTCCTTTGATTTGGAACTTCACAGGTTGCATGTCTATTTCTGCTCACAGAAAGCCAGTGAAAGGTGACAAGCTATGCCCCAAAGTGTGAAGCTCAGGGAAGTATCTCAGCTGTCAGAGAAAGAGATCTCAGTCCTTGGGACCAGCTGCCAGAGGCTCAGCTGGGCAGTGTGCTTCCTTTAGCTGTAATGCCAGTGCCTTTATGGCTGTTTGCTTTTGAGACTTTACCAGTGTTTCTGTCCTTGTAGTATATTCCCAGCATTTCCTCCAAATGTTATCAAACAAATAATATCTGAACTGAAGCCTCACAGACTGGATTATAAATTGTAGTTTTGTAAAGATACGGTTGGGTTGCAGCAGCTGCTAATGCAGGCTATTTCTGTGCCGGCATGTACCTAAAGACAAATACAGCCCCAACATGCAGAAGGCATCTGGTTTTATTCCAGTGACATATGGCAACTTCATGACCTTATCCAGAAGTTACCCTCACAGCAGCATAAGCCAAGGCCAAGGTCAGTCAGACAAATGTGGAGGGAATTACAGGTTTTAATATCTTCTCTGACCAAGAAGGTGTTTTACAATCACAAGGAGTACTCACAAAGCTGGGTAATTTTGCAGAGGGCAAGTATACAGCTGCTGTGTTGTGGTTAAGTCTCCCATGCTTGTACATGACTGTGCTGTAAAAGATGAGGCAGATGGTGAGTTACAGGTGAAGATTGCCGGGTAGCTAGATAGGCTTCCGTGAGATATACACCTATAACTTTGGACAAATAAATGGTTTAACTTTTAGGTTCTGCTGTGTGGATACAGGAGTTGTACTTGATGACTCTTGTGGGTACCTTCCAACTCAGGATATTCTATGGCTATATGATTCTAATTCACAGGGCTGCTCAACATGTGAGGCAGCTTGCTGTATTGTATTATATTACCCTTCCAATTGATGGAAGACAAAATATGAAGTTGTTGTTTATTTGCTTGGTGTATGAAATTTGTGGGTGTAATGATCCAGATATATAGCCTGACAGTATGAGAGTCAGTGAAAGAAGAATAATGAAATACAACCTTAGCAATCTGAAATACACCAATTCAAAACAAAAAGGACCCCCAAATAAGTCTAGATAAACAAGTGTGAGAAATTACTTCTAATTCTGTTTTGGCTGGCTTCTTCTGGAGGTGAGAGAAAGCTATTGTCACCTATAGGTACCATTAACACTTCTCGGGGGCAACAGAAATCTGTATCTCCTTGATGAGAATAAAGTCATCTCAAGAGATAGCCATCAGATGCTCAGAGAGACACGTAAGTGACACTTCCTCAGTATCTGGTACCTGGAAGTTAGCTTTTACAGGCTTGTGCGTGCACCTTGGTGCACTCCATGGCCTTATGCAAAACGAATCCGCTCCTTTAAACGGGCAGTGCTGAGGGCAGATGGCAGCATCCCCCTGCAGGTCTGTGCCTAGCAGCACAGCTCCAGCTCCAGGGCTCTTGGCCGCGGAGAAGGCAGACTCTCCACCACATTCTTCCCCACTCTGGGCTCTTATCAGCTGTGGCATGCCCCTAGGAGTGATGGAGGCTGGAGCGATTGCAAGAGCAGAATCACTGAGGCCAGCTGCAGGCAGCACCATTTGTTTTAGTTCTCGAGTCACCTTCGAGGAGGAAAATATCTACGTCTCTGAGGCCCTGTGGATCATCTGATAAATACTTTGAGGGTCTTCCCCCTGCCCAAATGTGGCTGCTTATAGAGGGCACATGCATGAACTTGCAGCGACAGATGTCTACTTTGCTGGGATGTGCCATGTTTGACAGAGTGGTCTGTGAGTTAGCAAGGGGCTGAAGAGTAAGCATTGCTGTTTGCTATAAACAAACCTTAGCGAAGTGCCTGTAATTGCACTGTTAGAAGGTTGGCCAGGCCTAGATGGTAACAGGGGAGGAAAATAATGTTTTCTTTTATCTGTTCTTGCAAACAGCTGGAGACAGATAAAAGCGGAGACAGTTTTAACCTAAGCAAAGATTGTGACTGTGTGCTGTCCTTTGTTCCTCAGTGCTTTCTGTTTTCCTCCCTCTAAGTTAGATTTTTATTTGCAAATGAGACTATACATGGGACAGCTTCTGCATGTTTTTTTCTTTTTCCCCTTTTGTTGTTTTTCCTTAACCTAAGGAGATTTTCCTTGTAACTTGGCTCCTGTGGCTGCTTCTGCTTCAGATGTATGTGAAGAATACAGACTGAACTTCCTTCTGCCTACCCCTTACCAACTTCCAGAGCTCTGACACAAAGACAAGATGAATATCATCCACAACTAACTGATACTGGGGAAGTAATTTTGCTGTACCAAGGTTGACATAAAACCATCCTGAAGCAGAATTTTCAGATTTTCCAGTAACAGAATGCAGTGGGATAAGATAGAAAAGGAACTGTTATCTTAAAATGAAACAAACAAAAACTCTCTGTTTTTCCGTCCAGAGAATATTTCCGAATTCTGCCATTCACAGTTAGTAATAAATTGCACTGACATAATTAAAACTACTTAGGCATCCAAGTTCCCCATGCAATGTTTTGAGACTGTAGAAACAGAACCATGCATCTAATCTGATGCCCTGTACAAATGTTTTGGTACAGCAGGAAAATATTTCTTTGCTGTAGAGTAATATTTCAGTTACTCTAATTCAGCAAATCAGACCCACCCAATAATGAATAGCCTCATCAGGGTGACTTTTGCAGGCACATAGGCTCATCTACACAGGGAGTTATTCCAGTTCAGTTTTTCATTATTAAATCTGCTGTGGATGTTATTGAAACAGAAATAGCTGTTCTGTTGTAAAACCTGTATTAAAACACTTCTTTTTTTTTGTTAATTGCAATCTTTAATGGCTCCATATTTTTCTCTATGGGGATTAAAAAAATACTACTTCAGATGTATTTTTACTGTACTATGTACTTTCCTTTAAAAAGTAAAGCCTATTTGAAGCACGTTACAAGCTGAATTGCCTACAGACTTCTCAGGTATGCTTTATGGCAAGCCAAGATGATTTCACAGTGGCATTCCTGAAATTTCAGCATCTGGTAAATAAAGGCACAACTATTTTCTTCCAGATATTCTCTTTGATATTTAATTATCCTAAGATGATATGTGAAAACACAGTCTGATGGGTACAGACCAGTTTGTGTGAAATAATGGGAAAAGGACTAATTCTAGTCCAGTGTATCTGACGTGAAGAGTGAGAAGCCTTGTCTCTCAGTACAAATAAAGAGTTTGGAAAGGAGTAGACTGGATACTTGAAGTATTTAACATGAGTGTGTTTTTACACAATGACTCCATATAAAATTCTGATTCAGAATAGTCATAGATTTAAAGGCAGGCACTATATTATGTAATTTGTTGGTATTGCATCCTTTTCTGCTTAACAACTGGCTTGGTTCTGTTTGCCACCAAATAAATAAAGAAATTTAAGAATATATTAAACTTTTAAAAGACATAAAGAATTTTCTTCTCAGTAATGTGTTTTTAGTCAATAAAATTATGAATCTGATTGTTTCTATCTGGCACTTCCACTTTAAAAGGATGAAGATACATTTTAGTATTATCTTTGCAATTTTTTTCAAAATAAACCTTTTTCTGCTTTATAAACTTGCATTAAAATGCACTTACATGTTCAAACATTTTGTATTTTGTAGCCTAGATATACTAATTTTTGGATTATATATTAATCAAGAAAACTTTTCTGTAGAAAAAAATTAAACTAAGTTGCTCTTTGCTATCATTTTAAAAAAAAGAGACACACGTATTTCTAGGATATGAAGTAAACCCTCAAAAGACAAATAACCATCACTTATGTGTTCTTAATATACATATGATTCCTGCCAGGCAGATTATGTATAAATACAATTTTGCTGTAATAAATTTCATGCTGTAAGACTACAGAACTTTTACAGTTCTCTATATTAGGGCTTGAAAGATATTTACTCTTAAACCCCTCCTTATGTCATCAAATTTCTGTTTGTTCATTCTACCCTGCACTTTTCTTACATGAAAAAATATAATGACAAGTGGTAGATAGGAATTTTCAAGTTTAAATAAAGTTAAACAAAAAGTTTTCAGAAATGAAATCAGTTTTATTTGTTAAGAGTTGTACTGTATACATAAGAAATAACCATAACTTGCAATACTTCAGGCGTAGAATATTGGGGGGGTTTGCTTCCACTGGAAGAGCAGTATTTTGGAAATAAAAGAATCATTAGAATCAGACATTGATAGCAGTATTAATATAATAATATAATAATAAATACTTCACATTCATATAATCTGAATTTATAATAACCCAGTCTTCTCATCTTTAATTAATACATCTTAATCTGCCTCCAAGATGCAGGTAGAAGAGTCTTCCGTATTTCATAGAAGAAATGTATGATTCACGGTGAGGGTTATACC